GGAATATTGATTGGGTCGTCTAAGAATCTTTCCTAAATGGGTAATATGAGAGACGTTCTTGCAGCTGGGATGTCAGTGATGTTTTATGTACATTTCACATAAAGCATTTGTCGGGTTTGCATCAAAGACACTACATAAAAGAAACAGGTCCAAGTCCATTTTCTATATTCACGGCATCTAAAAGAGAATCGTTGATCATCCTATTCTTACGAGGTTACGAGGTCTAAAATTTAGTAGTGGTACATACTCTATAAAGACAATCCCGGAGTCCAGTATGATTTGAGACAGTCCTTAGACGAGATTCAATAAGGACCTTTACACATTGAGTTATCATACACGTATAAGAAATAGTAAATTCTGTATCGATCGCCTTTCGTTTAGGCCCGAGTAGACCTAGAAGATTTTCCCCTTTGAGATGACGCTTAATAATTCTCAGAGATCTTCATGAATGTCTCGAGATCGAAGCTGCCCTCTATAAGATTGCTTCGATCGATAGTCGTGACGAAGGTGCGTCCGTTTTCGATTACTTCTCCTTCATCCGTAGTGATCGTGCAGTACTCCATATGATAGGCACCGCTCTCGTACCAGCAAAGACGACCGACGTATTCGGGCTTGTCGCATTTCCAGTACATGCCCTTCACCACGTTGCCTGCCTTAGGAACCAGAGCTGGATATACACTCCATAGCATGACTACATCATGTCGAATTAGTAAAATGGAGTCTTAAATTCAGGGTTTATGAACACATATGCAAACAGGATATACATGCTCTCGAGAAAGGGGATGAAGCCGAAAAGCAATCAAAAGTCATAACTTACTTTCCCAGTCCTTGATAGAGGCGGACTTCAATTCCGGCTCGGAATCTCCCAAGTTACACACGGACTTCAGAATTCTCGGAAGTTGCAACGTGCCATAGAAGAAGAAGTAGAAGGGCTCGAAAGTGGTCAAAGAGTTAGCATCGGGGATGCTTGCGAGCCATTTCCCGGCACGCCCTGCTAATAATGCAAGGTCATTACCTGTCGCAGAGCTGCGGAAGCCATGGAGACGTAGGACCTCTCGGTTACGGTCGTCTTTATTACTATGGCTGTCTTGGTTGGAGGTGGTAGCTCGGGTTGGGCTAGTCGACTGGTTGTTAGGTGATGATGCACTACCTTCGGAAGCCATAGCGACGTGTATGGAATTAGTATACTTTAGACTTAAGTAATGGTTTGGATTCTGAAGTGGGTGTAGGATACACTATAGATGGTGTTGCGTAAAGGGTATTATCCTATTGAAGATGCGGATATTCTCTCTCAGTTAAATACAAATTCTAATCTTTATGCCTAAAGCTCCCAGGAAGGGGCCAGTCTAATCACCATCTTTGCTGCACCAAAAAGGCTCCAGTCCGTCTGTTTCAAGCTTTAAAATTTCCAAGGTTTGGATGTGATATGCACAAGTTATTGTTCATTGTGTCTTTGTATCTCTTTGAATCGCACTACGATACAGTATGCTAGTAAAAGGCGGCTTCTTCGCATACTAACACCTTCAGGTTCTCTATACAGCCGACATGCTATAGAACAAAAGGGGTTAATATCACCTTGGAATGAAGAGCCCCAGTTATTCATGAGGTTATCTGACAGGTAGCAAAGAAAGCCAAAGTTGCTTATATCAATGTAAATCAGCTTTGATCGAGCTGATTGGGTGAAGCAACATATATACATCATGAAATAAAGCCAGATCCATACTAATGATTACTTAGTTAAATACTTAGGTGCTCAGTGGGTAGCTCCTAGAATGTTTATATGCCTTTTGTAGATTCCATGTCCGGACGGCAACATACTACAAATGAGGGCCGGAATAAGCTGCGAGAATTATCACATACCTAGTTTACATCAGTGAGATCAAGCCTTTCAGTACATAATTTCACAAGGATCCGCCTTAGGCATGTCGTATATGTCGTACCTATTCATATCCGAATTCCTATGCAACTTGCTTGTGACTTAACTCATAGGCATGTGACTATTGCTAGTATAACCTGATGGCACACCCAAGTATCCCCCACGGGAGTGGGTTTAGTTATGACCGGCAATCTTCTTCGGCTCGTACAGTTCCTCTAGATATTTCTCTTCCTCCTCTGTTAAAGTCTTCCCCCTTGCATCGAGAGCCTCATCGATCCTGTTTATGCTCGAGAACCCGATGATGGGACTAGCGACTCTCTTGTTGATCCACGCCAATGCTACATGGCTCATCTTCCAGCCCCTCTTCTCGGCTATCTCCTGGACGCGGCTGATGATTGTCAAATCCGGCTCGACAGTGCCATGTGAGCCTGGTGACGTGTCCTTCTCGAGCTTGCTACGCTCGGTGGTGCCGAATGCTGAAGGCGGACGAGCGAGATGGCCTCGGCATAGAGGCGCCCATGGGATCAGACCGACGCCCGTGTCGTTGCAGAAGCGGTTCATTTCCCTCTCCTCCTCGCGGTAGAGGAGGTTGTAATGATTCTGCATGGAAATGAACTTCGTCCATCCATTATTCTCCGCAACGAACTGCATTCGGGCGAAATTCACAGCCCACATACTACTAGCGCCTATATATCGAACCTTGCCCGACTGGACGAGATCGTGCAGCGCCTTCATCGTTTCCTCAATAGGGGTGTTGTAGTCAAACCGGTGGATCTGAAGCAGGTCGATATAATCGGTGTCTAAGCGCTTTAGAGATGCCTCCACCGCGTTGAATATAGCGAGGCGGGACAGGCCATGTTGGTTAACGTAGTCCTTGGAGCCCTCGAGGGCCTTACCCAACATAAAATGGCGAACGTCAGGGGTTTCTCCCACACCCCAGAAGCACTTGGTCATGATAATGACCTTTTGCCGCGGAATGTTGTATTTCTTGATAGCCTTGCCGACAATGACCTCACTAACGCCTTGGGAATAGACATTCGCCGTATCCCAAGTATTTAACCCATTATCGTAGGCATATTTGAGCAGAGGTAGAGCCTATGAGTAAATTGTTAACACGTCTGAGGAGGCCCAGAAAAAGGGGTATCGTCACTGTATGGTCTACTCACCTCTGCTTCGTCAACAGCCCATGATTGCGCCTTGGTATCGCCAAAGCTCATGCAGCCGAACACCGGAACAGAGATCTTGAGACCGCTTTTCCCAAGCTGACGGTATTCGACCTTTGTGTGCTCTAGCGACTCTTTGAGAGACTGGGGGATACTCGTGTTAGCCATGATGAGAATGATCAGAACTTGTAAGTAAGTATTAACGATGGAGGGAAGACTTACTGGAGGTATACAACGAGACGGCGTGGGATGCCGGTACCTTTTTGTCTGTCTTCGAGAGTTCCAAGGTTGCTTGTATAGAGGTACCTTCAGGTTACACCCGTTCTGATCGAACCTCAAATTTCCCCGCACCAGACGGAAGCGCGGGCCTTTAGCGTTGCTGCAGCTCTTACTCTTCAGCGGGGCAGCCATTGTAGGTGAAGTTATCACCGGTATTACCGTTATGGTTAGCAGTTCGGGTTAAGGATGTCACCACGGGAATAGCTTGGAAGCGAATATCACACCTAGCTACCACCAATAAAAGTCTTGTATGCACCAACATTATCCCGTTGACCTCAAGATCTATTGGACACATTCCAATCATATCACCGTTAGTTCCGTACGAATGATTAGCGCAGGATATGTATGATGTGATTGGGGTTGCATTTTTTTTTATTTCTTGTTGGCCTCATCAAGGTTATCTTCCAGTAAACATGTACACCGACCCCTCTTAGTTCTCATTAAATTATAGCAACTCGGGGTTATTAAGGTACTCGCTAAACCAATATAATTCTATTTATTACCACTAGACATTTATGGATCGACGGACATTGAGCAGAGATCGATCGTGTAATTGTTGTACGGGTTCTTGTACCCCTGTAGACCAGTCAGTAATAGAGGAGCCTCAAGTATCGTCGCTTATGAACCTACAATAGACTGACAACATCCTGTGATGTTGTATACGAAGAGATTGCACTCCCATATAGGATCGGTAGCACCCATCTGATGCGCCGGTATACCTGGAGAAAGTATTAGGATATCTGCTTCTCGTACCGCTCCTTTCGAGACAAGGCACCTCGCGATAGCACTCACAGTTTGTCCCGACCTGGCCGTCAATGTTCATGCAACATTTGGGGGTAAAGCCCCACGTCTCTCGTGTATGGCAACTAAATAGCCCAACTTGCATAGATGACGCAGAAAAGAGTGCAGCAACAAGTAGTGCTGCCGCAGACTTGGAATACATATTTGCGATATTGTTATTATGCTCTGAGTACAATGAACGATGTTGAAAATGGATTATGGAGCTAGGTAGCTAATATCATATAATAGAGACCTACCCAACACCTATAACCAGAAATTTGACCTGTATTTGTAGTTGGCGATGGGCTGTGATCTAGGATTCCCCACACGCGATGAGCGCTGAGATATACCCGATAAGGTCGTCAAAGATGTAAAGTACAAAGCTATGGCAATGTTATCTACCAACAGTGGCTAAAATGGGTCTATGTCTTATTAGAATACTGCGGCCGTTAATAGTAAGCTAGCAGCTAGATGGTTGGATGAAGGTCTGCCATGACAGCATGGTTATCGTATTGAAGATCCTGCCTAGCTTGGCTTTTCGTATTTGCCGATTACGAAGTCTTCAAAGCACAGCTCAGGTTGCTAAGGTAACATCAGCCAATGATATATATTTTATTCAAGCTTCCATCTTCGCAGACCGGAAAGAATGCCCCTAAAGCTACAAGGGGTCGTAGGAGATAGTTAATTAGGTAAGCAGATGCTTTGGCGATTGAGGAGCCGATGATGCATAAGCTGAAGGTCGAGGAATTGATGCCAGGAGCATGCGCCTTACAAGAATAAATTTCACCCATAGCTATCAAAGGAGCAGTTTTGCCAAGGATTTATTTATAATGTAAGTACTAGCTACGATATAACTAGTTTTGACATATACGGCCTTTTGTTGTCCACATTTGGGGACTTACAAGAGTACGCGGGTATCGAACCCGCGATGATAGCATCGAAAGAGCTAGGTCTTACCGCCTGACATTCATCCACCTGTGTCGAGCCGCCATAAACAGAACATACGCACTTTCCAAGCATCCGTTCCAATCTTTCACCACTGGGCTCAATTCTTCTTCGTGACTTGATCTCCCTTATACCAACTAAGTGCCAGCATCATATCAACCAGCATAGCAGTCAGAGGATATCACTTGTTCGTAAATACGCGGCGGACCCAGTCGCGAAGAAGAATCGGAAGAATGACATCCCAGAAGTGACGCACACTGTCCCTAGTCCGCGGAACCTCCTAGATTTCCTCCTCTGACATGTTTGTGGCTCCGTCTTCGTCGATCGCCTCACTCTCGGCTAAATCTCGCCCGTCGTTCTTTGCAGCTAGAGCCCGAGCATACTTGTTGTCTGGTCGCGATCCAGCGTACATAATAGGAATCATGAGCACCGGCGATGCTTTCGCCTTACAGCCCGTGCGTAAAGCCTTCAAGTATGCGAGCTGCTTTCCTGCAATATACCAGACAAAGTACGGAGATTTCCTATAGTACATACTGAAGCAAAATGATGCTTTGAGTAGGTCCCAGTTCGAAAACCCAACACCTACCTGGTCTTCCTGTAGTAAAGATCTTATGGTCTTTGAGTTGACCTTGGCCGTGGGAGATATTGCCTGCCATTTGTCGTAGATGTTGGCGATCCTAGCATCCCACTCACCACCCACTGTGCGGATCCATTCCTGGGCCACGGCATCGATATCCTTTTTGAGCTCATCCAAGACCGTCTCCCAAGTTGATTTCTTAATAGCCTCTTTTCGCTCATTAAGAGGTCGTTGGAACTCTTTGTAATGTTGATAGAATCTTACAAGATCTTCGTCCCAGGGCTCAGCATCACCAAGGAAATCATTAAACGACTTCAGTTCCATCTCAACTATAGGTTTCCCCACGCTGAACTTGACATAGTCTATGATGTGCGTAGGTTCGCCATTCCCGCTCCAAGTATCCTTTTTATAGCGAGGTTCTGGTGGGTCAGCCCGGCTTAAGGTTTTGCGCAGCCGAGCCCAATCTTGATCTGTGAAAACGATGCCTTGCTTGGCCCGGTCTACTAAATGGCTAATAAGCGTACTTAAGAGGATCGCAGAATCGCTTCGAACGGAGTTCTGTGCATAGCAGTACCTTTCCTTATAATTTGTACACATACCAAGGAGGTTCTGCTGTAAGTTAAAACGAAAGGCCCTTGCGAGAAACTCTGTAGTGATATCTCTTGTTCCCACGAGATCTTGGTATCGTAGTGTATCCTTGCGTAGCACACCACATTTGAATAAGTCGGGGGTTATCGGCATCTCTGCGTTGCGAAAGTTGTTGACAATCGTGGGTTCCCAACAAACCCACGCGGTGTCACCATCATAATCGCCACCGGAGAGCTTCTCAGCAAGGGGGGTGTTGCCCTTAGTTGAGAATATGATGACGTCTTTCAAAAAGCCCAATTCAGGTTTGAAAACTGCTTTCACCCTTTGAATATCGCTTGGATAGTGAGCAGGAGTCCTAGCGACAAGAACGTCAATCCCATGGAGAAAGGTTTCTGAAAAGCCCGATTGCTCATCCACGAATTTGGACGAAAATCCAAGGTGTACTTCATCCTCTTCTAAAATCCCGAGGAAATCGACCACCATATAGGCGTATGTAGAGCGGCCAATTCTTACATTTAATCGTTCCTGGAGTTCCTGGCATTTTTCCTTGCGCATGACCCAAGCAATATCACGTAGGAACTTCAATTCTGTGGGTCTAAAGCCACTGTCCAAGAGGAAAGACATTATGTCCTCTCGACTGCTTGGGAGGCCTGCTTTGAAAGGGACTTGTTCATGGTTAACACGGTCTGCCCGACGACTTGAAGGGGAGTTTTCGTGCACCCAGAGCCTAAACTTCACGGGGTCTTGCATGGCCGCTTTTTGAGCATCCAAGTCTCTCTTCAGACTATCTCTCATAAACTTTCCAACTTGCGCCTTCATCACATCTGCGTCGATAGCCCTATCCTCGAGTATGGGGAGAAGTTGAAGATTCAGATTAGCAGATTTTAACTCATTGGACTCGCTAAGCACCTCGAATGTGCGATGATCATCTTCGATATAATCGCAATTCCATTTTCGTTGCGAAGGAGTCGTTTCTATCCAGATGGCGTCACTAGTGTCGGTAGTATCCCGTATCCAAAAGCCTTTTGCGCTACCAAATCGGCCCTGGAAACCTGCTGGTATTTCTTGCAAACCCATGAGACCACTTATGGCTCGTGCAAGGCCATGTGACATGAGAGCAATACCATCGTTCATAACTTTATTAGTGGGCGAGAGGACATCCACAGGACGATGGTGAATTTGCTCAGGTTGAATAATGACGGTGGGACGTGTGCGACTGAGACCTAGAAAATGTTAGAGACTTGCTATTGAGAGCATGGAAATAGTCGGTCGACTATACCTATTGCAATCCGTGAAAAGAGCTTGAGTAGAGGCTGTTCTTGATTTTTGGGAACTTGCAACAGCCAATCAATCAGGCTTTCCCGTCCCATTTTCGTATGCATTCCGACGGGCTCACCCTTCGGCGACCAGTGATCTTCATTTGTTAAACGATTGAAATCATTGCCATCCTCAGCGAAGAGATATACCCGCTCCTGATAAATTGTCTTGGTCTGCGGTCCAAGAGTATTCTCGGTAGTAATCTTTTTGGGCAGTGACGGCTTGAGAAAAAAAGCCGTCCACAAACGGCCAAGAAGCACATGACAATCATTGACCAACCATCGCTGGATACTTTCTATGGTAGATGCACCCAAGTTTTTTATATCCTGGGAGCCCATCGAAGGTATCACAAGTTCGAGGAATCGATCAGACCCGAATCTACGGCTAAGGCGATAAGAAAGATCTAGTTTTAGGGGATTAAGCTTGAGAATGAATAAGGGTCCAGTCTTCGACGTATTCACTGTAAGAGAAGCAGTGAGAACAACTACTCGATCCGTGGTGCTGAATTTGTCATTAAGAGCGGCGGTCCAGGCATCCGGCCGGGATTTTTCGGGAAAGTTCTTGCCTCGAAGTATCGGCTGCTCTTGAAGTCTTTTCCACATGATATTTTGGTCCGCCCATGATGGATCATACTCGAGGCGTAGCTCATCTATATGGATACCGCAGTGTAATGCGATTCGCAGAATTTCCCAGCGAACCGCAAATGGAGCATGATCATAATGGCCAGGAAGATGAGCTGGTGATAGTCAATAAAGAGTTTACGTTAGTAAGAGATCATGCTTACGCCAAACATCATAAAGTCGTTGTTCGAGGTCTTGGTTACCTCCATATACTATGCGTGTGAGTATCTCACCAGTCTTGCCTTTCTTAGGAGAAGCTTGAAGCGGAGATTCTGGAGGCAGTAATGCGATGGCGGGACGCGTGATATCCTGCTCTAAGGAGGTGGATGCTTCACCCTGGAGAAGCTCCCTTACATTTTGCTGAAGCTTTTCATGATTGTCGAAAGATATTTGAAGAGCGCGCTCGGTGCTGGAAGACGGTGCCAAAGAGTCCGAATCAGAGCCCAGTGCTCGCGACGGCTGCAATTGCGAGAGTTTTATACTTTCTAAACTGCTTGCGATTGCAGTGGTCTGCGTTTCTTGAGAAGCTGGGAGCGGACCATCGTCACGGCCTGAGAAAACCCGTGATGCAAACGTGGATTTGCTCGTATTGGCGGTGTTAGCTAATCCATAGAGACCTCTACTCCTTGTGTCACGCGTTGCTTGAATCGATGATAATTCACTTGGAACTGGGCTAGCGGTATACACTCGGCCCCTGTCGAGATTAGAAAGCACACTCGGGGGCATTTCATCATCAGGATCAAATTCTGTATCGGCCTCTGATGGGACGCTTCTGGTCCTCTTGGGACTTGGGGTCCCTTGGTGTTCATCTGAATTGCGCTTAGAGCGCCGGGCCCTTGTTGGAGATGTGGGATAATCTGAAAAAGAAGCTGAAGCTGAGCAACGTGATGATACGTTGGTCGAGCTAATATCTTCCAGAATAAATCCGAGAAGCTCGATCAATTGGCATCGTTCAGGCTCAGTAGTTGCCCGGGGCAACTGAGTAGGAAATGGGACAACGTTACGCTCAGCACAGGGTTTCTTCACCCACTTGTTGTGAATTTCCTTGGCACCCTGTTCAAACAAGTCCTGGATCAGTGTATGCTTGCCCCTGAAATATTGAACCTTGAGACTCTCGTAGTATTGTAGATCTGAGTAATATGGCAAGGTCCTTTTCTTCTCTGGGGACAGGTCCGGTGGGGACCGACTGAGATTGAGATTGTATGTATTGGAGAACTCGAGAAACCAGATATCGAAGTCGGTAACACTGGGTCGTGGTTTAGATGGTGTAACTGGAGGAAGACGCGGGGCCATGTGGTAAAGTTCAAGGCTTGATCCAATCGAGCGGTCAGCCGAATGGATGATTGGTTCCACTAGAGGCTAAAGTGAGAAGCTGCTTAGCTGGTCAACGTTAGCGTTCGAGCCAATCAGTGCCATCACCAGTACCATCACCAGTACGTATGTAGGTATTACACGGCTTTGTGTACAAACACTAAACTAAAGATTCAATGTTGCAACAAGGGCATACCTGTCTAAGTATGTACATACCTAGACAGCCAAACTGTTCTAATGTTACCAAATCCCGAATCTCCACTGCGGAGGACCGTGTCATGCAAATAGACTTCCAAATGTTCAATTGGATGGCATCAACACTGAGGTGTGGGGCACTCAAGCGCAAAGGAACGTGAGACACACTAACTGATAGGTAGCGAGGTTGATCGTGAGAACGAGGGTGTTGGAGCTAGTAACGCGAATTTGACACGAAGCATAAGGTATCTAGCAAAGGCGCGGTTTGGGTGTTTGGTTGGGCAAGGACGCGTTAATACATTGTTACATCTCAATCTTTCCCACAACCTGGGCAACTTCCAAGTTCTCCATATAATTGTGGGAACTTCAAGACGACGGGATGGCCCGAGCTTATTTAGCAAGTCCACCAGGAGGGGGGGT